TAAGATGAATATCTTAATTTTCATTCAACATACAAGCTTACATGGAAATTTGCAAGGAAAAAAAGGACCAGAAGTTGGTTGTCATATAAAGCTTTAAGTTTATCTTTCCTTCCACGGCACGGTCCGTGGAGGACGAAGTCAGCTGGGCCTGACTGATCAATTTGGGTTGCCAAAAAAGCAGGGAAAAGATTTCCTTCTATCAGAAATTTTGAGTTTAAACTAAATGCATGCACACCTAACACAATAAATGAATTTGGTTTCCATAAGCTTAGCTTTCAAGCAATAGCTTTCATTTAGCAAAATACAGAGAAACACGGACTTCATAGCCTTCAGCGTAAGTAAATAAATTCTGAATAAATTTCGGAAGCAGCGTTTCTNGAAGTTTGGACTACTTGCACACTTTTCGTACAGCCTTTTACTTTCGCGATGACCGATTCCACCTACGAATCCCTGAATTTCACCGTCAGAATACTTTTGAGTTAATTAATATACTTTTTGCCTTTCACCGATAACCTTTAAATGGCTTTTCCTATCCTTTCTTAACGCTTTCTTTGCGTGAAATGTTTTCGTCGCTTTGCTCTGCGGATTTCGTGTCCCGCGCGGAGTCTGCTTTCATTCTTTCAGTCGCTGTGATTGGTTTGTCGCGTCATCTCATGAATTTCATGAGAATAAGCAACTTGATCACCAAAGTACAATAAATTTTCCTCTCATCATAGTTAGTAGAGGACATCATTGACAGACTTTTTCGACAGCTATTTCATAAAAGCGATAGACCACTCTTTCTATGAGTTTACTGACGCAATAAACTTGAAGAGCTCGTAAATCACTCGCCTAACGGCTCGTGATTTACAAGCTTTTCTCGTGTTCTTCCAACATCCCGTTAGTAAACCCCTCAACAATAAATTTCCAGGCTCAAACTGCGGAATGCTATTGTGATGCGGATTGAACAGAGTTAGGCTCATGATAAGGTATGAGTCACTTATAAACTTTGCGTGTTTTCGACCAGACGTGGGGCCGTAACGAATTTGTGACTTTTTGGCGGGCGTAAAAACTACTTCAAGAAGAAAAAAATCCACCACGTTCCTAGGCTTATCCCCGGGGGGGGGG